TCAAGCTAGCAATTAAAAAGGGCAATATATCCATTTGATATATCCTAAAAAAATTTTTAAACGTTACACTATAAATCATTCTAATTAAATCCTTCTTATTCTCTGTTGGTATAAAAACAAAAAAACCCCAACCAGGTACATCTCCATGCATGCTTGTAAGCAAAGTTATCCACCAAGGCGAACCCAACTGAATCAAACTTTACTGCTGCTGCTGATTTCCATAAAAACCACCCATCACATTATCAAATCTCGAGAACCCGAAGCTGTCCAATCCGAAGTTTTGCCTCGAACCAAACAAGGAATCATTAGCCACCTGGCTTATGTGGGTTGGCATGGCCATCGGCCTTGTTGGCATTGTAAAATTATTGAAATCGTAGAAGTTGTTGTTCAGCATTGGCTTGCTAATCATGCTTCCATTTCCTCGAGGTGGAGGGACGCCATGATTGTGCTTCCCTTCGTATGTAGTGATCACTGCCCTTAGATCTGTCGATGCCCTCTCTACATGTTTTCTCACCGGGCAACGAGCACTTGTGCACTTGTAGTAGCTCCTGTCAAAAAATAAAAAAAAAATGTTAGAAAAATTAGGTGGGCTCGTAATTACTAGGCCATTTACAGATGAAAGCGATGGAAGAGCAATTATAGTTGTTAATTTTTGTTGGCTTAGAGAAATGTACTCATCATAGTTGTATCATTTTATATGTTATTGATGATTTGGAGCTCTAAGTTAGGAATCAAAGAGTTTCGCTTAAGTTAAGGCACTTTGATAAAAAGACTGGTTTAATATAACAACAACAACAATGACGAGTTTTTATGCCATTAAATGGGGCTAGCTGCATGAATCATTTTTCTCCGGTGCCCTATCGAGTGTCATGTTTTCATTTAATTCTGGTAAATTGAGATCATTTTTTATTACAATGTGTCAAAGTTTTTTTTAAGTCTAATTCTGTTTTTCATAACATAAGTCTGAATTTAAATCATCAACTCTCCTAGTTGGATGATTAGATGGTTAACATTTAATATGAAAAAATCATCTAAGAGGACTGTCTCTAATCTTGTCCGCCACTGGAGCTACACCAACCGTATCACAGATATAATCATTTCACAACATTTTGAAAGACTATGTTTAATAAGTATGTTTAAACTTAAATTTATGACATGAATTGCTTAAGTGGTAGATGATATGACATTACAAGGTTGATTGCTAATGAGGGAAATAAAAAAAAAAAATTTAAGTTTGTGAGATTCACCTTGGATTTGGATTCCCCTTCACCACCTTTTGCCCATACTTCCTCCACCGATAGCCATCATCGAGAACATCCATATCGCTTGTGGTTTGAATCACTACTTTAGGCGTTCTTATGTTTCCATTGCCTGAGATTTCTTCACTCTCAGAATCATTTTTTCTGCAGAAGAAAAGAGGGAGAAGGTTAAATTAGATAAGCTATAAAGCTTACAAAAATGAATATACTTATTTGAAGAGCTATGTAAAAAATATTTTCTTACGATTTCTTCCAGTCAGGCTCATCCTCATCAAAACCATCTCCCTGAGATTTTGTCCTCATAGAGTTCATATGAAAATCATTTTCTCCATATGAAGCTGAAGAATTCTCTGTAGTTGCTGTAGAATCAAGCATTTGAGAATTTAAATGAACCTGTTCTGATCCGAAACAAGATGTGTTCCTTCTTGTTGGCATAGGTTTTGCATGATTATGTTTTCCTTTGTATATAATCTCAGTTATTTGGCCTTCTAAAGACTTCTCGACTTTCTTTTTTGATGGGCAGTTAGGGTAAGTGCACTTATAGTAGCTTCTAGGATTTTCACTTCCTTTCACTTGCTTCTGACCATATTTTCTCCAATTATATCCATCTTCTGTTCCCCTTTGATCACTTAGGGTTTGAGCCGCCATGATTGAATTGTTGAGGTGCTCAGGCTCCTCATGACTGCTTGGTTGTGGAGCAAATGGAAACATTGATGAATTTGATTCATTTGGATGTTTGTAGCTCCATAGTTGTTGGTGTTCTCTTAGTGCTTCTTTTTCCTTGAAAAAATATGATGATGGTTTAGAGCAAGTTAAGTTTAAATCAAAATATTTTACTACAAATCTATAATAAAACTCCCTAGTGACGAAGGAGATCATATTTCTATTTTTATAAACCAATCAATATTAAAATATGGGGCAATTACATGCAGACCACCTGAAATTTGCTATTTACGAATCAATCATCTTTCATCAAAAGTTCAATTTCTCACTCAAATATCAAAATTCATTTTAAAATCTCAACCTATATTTTTCAACTTTTAGCAAATTCTCAATAGTTTGATTGCGACACGCATAAATACAACAATTCAGCAGAAATCAATTGAGCTCTTAATTTGTAAATATCAATATTTTGAATGATATGCATGTAATTAACCCAAAAAAAAATTGATTAAGACTTCCAACTATTTCTTAAACCTCTAAATTTATCAAGATTATTCCAAACTGTCGCAATTTCAGCATTTGTCCAAATTCTCATAATTTTGGAATACAACTGTAGCACCAAAATTTGATTAGGATGTGTTTTAAAACTATTAAGATGGGTACAAAATAAAACTGAAATAAATATACTTTTCTTAATTTTATCTCGAAGTAATTTTAAAATTTGCGAAAACTATCCTGATCAGATTCTGTTGACCTGACCTAGTTTTTTATTCAAATACCGAAGTTATAGAAGATCATGGTAACTAAGAACCCTGTTACTGAACCCTAGTTATTTGACTAGAACTTAGATGAATTACTGATTATATATATATATATATATATATATACACAAAAAACACACACACACACACACACACAAATCAATCTAACTATAGGAACTTACACGTTAGGCGGTGTTTGGTTGTAACTTAGATTTATATTATGTAGGATTTATCAAATCCGATAAAATGGAATTTCTCTTCAACGTTCGGATGAAGTAAATTCGCCTCTCAATAGAATTTACTAAATCCGAATTTATATCTGGAATGAAATGTAACGCGAGAAAAAAAATTAATAAAATGCGAGAAATTTTGATTTAACAGAATGTTGAATTTAATGTTCGGTTTGTTGATGTTCGGCTGGATATAAGCTAAATTCATCGCTAAATCCTATTATCAAGGAGTATAATGAAATAGGATAGAGAAGAAGACATACCGAAGACATCACTAGACCCGCGGTTGAAGGAAGAAAACAAGAAGGTTGCGAGTTTGCCGATCTGCCAGAATTTTGGAAGGATATATGATCAGAGTAGGACTTGGATTCCTCCATTATTCCTTGGTTATAGTTAATACTGCTATTTTTCCACTTGAAGGCTTGTGAAGATAAGCTCTCAGTTTCTTGAGAACAAGCCGTCATCTGTCACAAAAATAAATAAATAATAGAGCAAAAAATATCAGCAACCATGTATTTGTTCTTATATGCTTGTTACCATATGTTAAATTTTGTCAAAGAATATATACAACAAATGTCTTACTTTGATAATATAAGAATATAAAAATAGCTTGCACGCATTCATGATTTAGTTCTTCTATTTACTATGATCATATGATGTATGTCACATGACTTTAAATTAACAACTATTTTACACCTTGAATGCTTAAGGAGGGCCCAGAAAAAAAAATGAAAATTACTCATATTTATATGGAAAATAATCAAAATATTAATTTATTTTGTTAATGAAAAAAAAAAGTTTATATCTTAATTATCCACCTCTCTCTCTCTCCCTCTCTCTCCCTCTCTCTATCTATTGAGTAGTTGCACCTAAATCCTTTCTACAATTACTTTAGGTTGAACAAAACTTTCATATGTATATATATATATATATATATGTACTCAGATAAGTTAGTGGGCATCTACTTGTCAGTTGTAAGTCTCCTTTGGTCTGAGGTCAATTGTCCTCGAGTGTAGGGTGTGGTACTCGAATTCTTAAGTGCACGAGAAATAACTGAGGCTCCTATAATAGCCTTTGGTCATTCCTTAAAAAAAAAATGCATGCAAGACTCTATGCACATCAAAATAACAGAAAAAAAGAAAGTTTTTAAAAACTTCAACAACTTACATTTGAGGAAGAAAGAAACATTGGAGAGCGAAGAAGCTCAGTGGGGCTGATGCCTCCAGTCATGGAGAAGTAAGCAGGACTGGGGATAGGGGTTGAAGTCGAAGGGGCTAGTTTAAACTTAGCCAATCCAGCTCCCCCATTAAACTCGGCTGAAACAAACCGCGGCCTTGCAGAAGATGATAATGATCTCTCATCATGACCGTTGATGATACTATGTTCTCTACTTGCAGGTTTGAAGAAGCTATGATTAGAAGAGGAAGAAGGTGCAGAGAAAGCGAAGGCAGCAGATGTATGAGAATTCATGGAGGAAGGGAGGCCAGAAGTTAATTTAGGGAAGAGAAAATAATGATTATTATGGAAAAAATAATATGAGAAATGAGGGCGTTGAAACTTAGGTTAGCTTGCATGAAATAATTCAAAAGATAAGGGGAGAGACTGATTCATATAGGATTATGAAAGAGATGAGTTTAGGAAGGAACAGAAAGGCATTTGTATTGAGGAAGAGAAGGGTGGGGGTTTGACCCTGGAAAGCATAATTTCAGAATCCGTGGCTTTGACCAGTCGGCAAGCCGGCTACTAAGGTCTTGAACTCTTCTGGCTTACATTTCTTTTTTGAGAATTGATTAATTATGTATTTCACTCATCAAATGCTTGTATTCTTAATATCATCTACTTTTATATTAGAAAATAGATGAAGCATTAGTTATATCTTGTTATATCTAAATTATCAAATGTTTAAGGTGTAGGAGATTAGCTTAGTCTTGGTTGCACAAGTTATTTATCCCCCCCAAAAATACAAAAAAATTGTGGCAAAGAGCGATTACAGGCAAAGTGTATTTCAAAATATTATGTTCCTTTTACTGAAAATGAAATCTAATCTTAAAGATTAAAAAAGTACTATGATTATAATGTATTTGAGATGTACATCCAATTTATTTGATTCATGTAAAATAAATGTATGAATTTATATACATATATATAATTTTTGTTTTAAAGTAGATTGAGAATAATGTATTTTAAAACATATTTTTTTGTCGTATGGTAGTGGGAAGAGAGATGGGCTGACATGCGGTCGACAAAAGTGGGCTGGTGGGCAGCACGACAGACGACAGACGGTGGTAGGTGGCAGCGCCGAGTGGCTGCTTCAGACCGCAGATTGGGCGGCGGTCGGCCGTCGGCAATGTGTGGCGGCGACCATCGGCAGGCGGATCGTGGGGCGGCGACTTGTCTATAGTATTTTGCATTAATGGTGTAATTCAAATTTGGCCAAATCTGTAGAATTCTAAATCCACTCAAAATGAAATACGACATAAACTTTAAATTCATTCATACTTTGTATTATACTTATAATTCTTCACACAAAACACATAATTTTCTCATATACCTTCAAAAAAATTGTATTACGCCACAAACCCACTAAAACAAACTGCCCCCAAACAAATTGAGCATTTATTCAAAACTTTATTTGCTTACTATTAATTACTCTATTATAATGCCGGCCCTGCGGATTTGCTAAGCAATATTTGGTACAATAGTGGCTAAAAAACTAAGAATTTTATTGAGCTGTACTCCCCAAAAACAACTGTTAAGCAAATGCCATATTGATTAAGGCTTTGGCTTCATTTGATAAACCTTGTTGGAGCTATATTTGTGCTGAGTCATATAAACAATTAGATTATATTCTTATCTAGAATTATGGACTCTATAATTTTGTTGGCATGCTCATTAAATTATAGAATCGGAGCATGCACTAATGATGATTTCTTAACATATTTTTAATGTATATTAAAATAAACTATGGAAACATTATGCTTGGAAAAAATAAAAACAGTCTTATTTTTGTTAACTTCATCTCTTTCTTAATTTTTAATCAAGTAAAAAAAATATTAAATATTATAACATTTTAAAAACTATATAAATTTAATGGGTCTTTTGCCAACATTTGAGTTAATTTATATTGGGAAGGAAATCTTATACTTCAACCCGGGCTTTGATCAATTAAGAAATCAAAGGCACGCCATGAAAAATAAGATCGAATTGATTCCAGAAAAATTGGAATAAAATATTCGAACAGAAGCACACTAAAAACAAAAACAAACAAACAAACAATTCAAAAAATCACACCAGGGTTTAACATGAAAAAAAATTGGGAATGGAAAAAAAACAAAGGAGCCACAACACCAAGAAATTTCTACTATAAAATTTAGAAAATCATAGAACACTTAATCATATCTCATCTTTATAATTGTGGGAACTTACAAGACTTCACTCCAAACCCTTCTTCCTAATGTCACAAGAGAAAAGCATGCTAAAATTTACCTCTCCAACTCTTCTCCACGAGTACCCGTGTTGAAAGAATCGCACAAACGCGAGGGTATCTACTTTCGCTCGAAATCAAGATTAAGGACTGTTTCAGGACCATCCATCTAGCAGTGCGGACATGCCCCATATGAGGGTAATCTTTTTGCTTGCTTGGGAAGACAATGACCCTCGGCAGCGTGGCCACACTCATTTCAACGTGGTTTCACCGTTCGACATAGCCAAGCGTGTTTTAGGCGAGGCTATGCCAAGTCCATGCACAACACCTTTGCTTCAGTGCTCCTTGCAGCTATTGTGAGTGCTTCGGGCTCCACAAACCCAACAATCTCCCACTTAGAAATTGACAACATCTCCATCTGTACCATCTTCATAGTCATGTATCATGGTGTGACTCATATCTGACCACAAATTTCATGGACTTCAATTGATGCCAAGCATAACTTCAATTTCTCGATAGTCACAAATTTCATTAACATGTCCGTAGAATTCTAAGCTATGTGTGTATCATTTCCAAGAATAAATGACAATCTTCTAGAAGAGAGCTTATAAAATGATACCTCAGTTGAATGTGCTTTGCCTTGGCATGAGAATCAATGTGCTTAGCAAGAAGAATTGCACTCATACTGTCACTATGAAGCTCTCCAACCCTATGCTCCTTATCCAATTCTAACCTAAAGCTTTGCGACCAAATCATCTCCTTACTGGCCTTAGTGATAGAAATATATTCGGTCTTTGTAGTTGAAAGTGTAATAATCTTCTATAACGTGGAAACCCAACTCACGGTTTTGTTCCCTAGAGTGAAGATATAGCCTATTGTATTTCTTCAAACATTTAAATCTCTTGCAAGATCTTAATCTACAAATCCCCTAAATTAATCCAGCCAACAGTTTTATAGCAAAATGCCCTGTTAATTATTCCCCTAAAAAACCTGAGAATTCACTTCATGACCACTCAATAATACTTGCTTGGATTGCCCATGTACCTATTGAACACTTTAATATAAATGTAATATTTTGTATAATACATAAATCATAACATACACCAGACTTTCAACTATTAGAGCATACAAAGTTCTTCCCATCTATGTTTGTTCTGCATCAGACTTAGACAACTCCTTAGATAACTTCAAGTGAATGCTTAAGAGATAGCATATTAGCTTTATCTCACTCATATTGAATTTTTATAGGAACTTATCAGTATACTCTATATGTGATAACTTCAACATACCAGGCTCCAATTCCTGTTAATTCTCATCCTGAAGATTTTTTTGGTTAAAACTAGGCTATAAATGATCCAATGCACTCGATGAACTCAAACTTGGCTTGATTAAGTCTTGATCTTATTCGTTCAAATTGGTAAATAAATAAGCTTGAACAATTATTAAAAGTTCAGAGTTTGAATGAACTAAACATGAACATATTCGAACTTGTTCATTTATTTTCACAAATAAACTTATTTGTTTTTTAACAAGTAACTTGTTAAATATTCGATATTAAAGCTCGATGACAACTCATATTATATATGATAAATTATTTAAATAAAACTTAAATAACTAGAATTTATTTAGTTATAGATTTAATAGTAATATATTGCTATATCAAAATTTTTTTTATTAATTATTAATATATATTTATTTTATTAATGCTTAGGGGCTAGATGTAAAAATACATAAACAATTATGTTGTATGTATGAAATGACATCTAGCCCCTCAAATCTCACTTTCTCTCCGACCTCTCACAGTTTCGCATCTCCAGTTTTGTTTGAAACAAAAAAAACCTTTAGTTGCTAGGGCGTGCAAGCATTAAAGGCAATGACGCGATAGCAGTGTGCAATTATATTGAAACTCTCTTCCCTTGTATATCTCCCATTTCCACTCAGCACATAAATCCCACCCGATTAAAAAGTGGTGTTGAGAGTGTAGTGTAATCATTATAAATTATATATGATTAAGAATACAACTGTTGCAACAACTCGATAAAAAAGACAACTAAAAAAATATCCCAAAAAGCTAGGAAAAAGGGCAAGTATGAATAAGTATGGGAAAACCAACACCTACATCTAAATGTGGAGTTAGAGTGCAAACTTGGAAGTCTGGTCAGACAAAAATATGAGAGATTATATCTCATATGAACATGGTTCATTATTTATTTTTTTATTTTTATAAAATTTATAATTGATAAATTAGTAGACATGATTAGATATGCAAAATTATTTTTTGAATTTTTTATATGAAGATTTAAATATTTATTTAATTTTTAGCTTGTTTATAAGCTCGTTTAAATATTAGTTCACTTTTCATAAAAAAATCAAGTTTAAACATTGAAAATTTTAAATAAGTCAAGCTTAAACAATATATGCAAGCTTCGCACAAGTTCAAACTGAACATGAAAAACTTATAATTATACCAAGCCAACTCTAAACTATGATATTCTTAACTCGACCTCGACCGACTCGATTACAACCCTAGTTGGATCAATATTCTTCATCTCAAACTCACTTAATAATCTCTCCTTGATGTTCCTAATTTTCCCATTATTAATGGAACAAGTCATAAAAATTACTTAAGTGTTTGATGAAGTAATAGTAGTTTGTCTGACACTTCATGTACCCACTATCTAACCTGAACCTATCAAAACTTTTGTACCACTATCTCAGTGTTTTCTTTAAGCTAGAAAGGCTATCTTTAACCTACAGACTAAACCATCTTTCCCCAGAATTATGTAACTCTGCAATTGCACCATGTACAATTCTTTTTCCATATCACCATGTAAGAAAAGTATTTTTATATCCATCTACTCAAGATACAGATCTTCCTCTGTTGTTAGACTCATCACAACCTTGATGATTATCATTTCACCACCAGAGAAAAATCTCTGTCTATTCCACCACCTCCTTTTAGATATCTTTTGCAATAAGCCTTGCCTTGCAACTTATGAAATGTCTTACCACTCTATTGGACCTCTAGACATAAGTAGAATGTGATTAAGGAACGTTATGTGCTCCATTTTGTCAACACTTCTTTATCCTCCACTTTCCTAATCACTAGCACCTTCTATCCTAACATACTTGAACTCTTCAGAAGTAATTGATGTGCTACCCTGAGTTCTGACTTTGTTCTTATATATATCCATTTCATTAAATAAAACATCCCAACTTCTGATAAATTTCTAATTTTGATAATCTCAAAACTTATACCCAAACTCATTTGAGTCATATCCAATAAACGTGCACTTGGTAGATTTTAAGTTAAGCTTACTTCTAGATAATGCATCAGCATGTACATATATTAAACACAAAAATACTTTTAAATGAGATAGATTTATGTCCTTGTCACTTTAGGCTTTATTAGGTATGCCTACCTCCAAAGGTATGATAGACTATAATTAATAAGATAAATAACAGTATTCATTGCTTTAGCAAAAAACTATTTTGGCAAGACTGCATACAACCACATAGTTCCAACATGCTCCTTGATTGTTCTATTTATGTGCTCAGCCATGTGATGCTAATGTGGTTTCATTGAGACAATGAACTCATTCTTGATTCCCTATATAACATAAAAATTTCTGAACTTTTGACCGCAATACTTGCCCTCATTATTTGATTTGAGACATTTCAACATCAAACATGTTTAATTTTTTACCATAGCCTTTCACTTTCTAAACACTTTAAACATGTTAGATTTTTTCTTTAAGAAGTAAACTCATATATTTCAGGTGTGGTCTTAAATAAACAGATAAATTAATTGGAACCACCAATGGACTGAACTAAAGTAGGACCTCATACATTAGTATGCACTAACTCCAATTTCCTTAACTTCACCACTAACCCACATTAGAGAATGAAACTTTATTTTGCTTTCCATATATAGAATCTTATTAAAAAAACTAAAATCTTCATAAAAAACTAGATCTACTATTTTCAGACCCTAAAGTTTATTCTTTTAAATAGGGACATCATATCTTTTGCACTCATATGGTCAAGCCTATGGTGTCATAGACTTGCATCCACTTTGGTTTCAGCCACATCAATGAAATCCACCATTTCATTGATCAAGTAAGGAATGCCTTCAATAATTTCTTGAGCCATCAACATTTCCCCTGGTCACCTTCCGCGAACCACATGCAAAAATACTGACGAAAGCTTACTTTGTCAGTTAACTCGTAAAGATTAAATTTCTCTTCAGATTTGAAACATGTCTAACTCTAACAAGCTTCAAGACTTTCCCATACTTACAATATTTTTGGCCTTATTATCTACCTGATAAACCTTCTCTAGATCACTCTCGAGTGTAATATTTGAATATCTCTTTATTGAGGCATGGTTGAAAAGCGGTACCTATGGAAGTATGTGTTCATTTTTTCCCATACTTATTATCTTTATTTCAGTACTTATGATGTAGTAATTTATAAAACAAGTTTTCTTAAAAAAATATTATGAAAAAAGTTTGAGAGGGAGATAATTGAACTTGTTTATAACTTCTTCAAAGTGACATTTATGTTAAAGTTTTATACTAAAATAAGTAAGGTTATTATTGAATTATATTAATAACAATAATAATAATAATAAATTTTAGTGATTCCATTAAAGTAAAATAAAATTTTATTTAATTAATTGATTCCACACTAACTTAAAAAACAACCCACCAATTATGAGTAATTAATAGATCAACTAATTTAAGATTTTGACCCCTTTCACATAATTGTAATAAAAACTTTTCAATTAGAAAAAAAAATTTTACTAATTTAACTAAATTCATTACACATAAATCTAAGGAGAGGTGGAATATTTTAGACTATGAAATTTGAAATAAAAATTAGAAGGATAACAATTCTCTTAAGTAATAGAGTATACACATTAGAAATTATTAAAAGCTTGATCAAATATTATTAACTTAAGAAAAAAAAATAATAGTTGGACATTCAAAATCATTGAAAAATAATTGAAGGAAACTTGAGGATAAGACAAAAAATGTAATAAAATGTGCATATATCCTCTTTTAACATAAAAATAATTAAAATCTTATACAATTTTCTTTAGCATATTTATATTTAAAATAAAACATTTCATTAAATATTTTAAAAAGTTTATGTATTTAACAATTCACTCCATTGATTTTTATGCAAAAGATTACATATAATGGTCTTTGAATAATTCTTAATATAATATTTATAAAATTACTTGAGGACAAGTAATATGTAAGTTTTGAAAATTTTGACAATTGTGTAAAGTAGTATAATTATGTGGAATTTTTCTTACATGTTTGTATCATTTTTATGATTTTACATTATATATGTTATTGATGTATGCAACATACATTTATAAAACAACATTTGAAGGACCATTATTAATAATGAGTCAACACCCCAGAACCAAGTGTGTAGCACCACAAATCCAATAAGATAACACACAAATACTAGTGGAGCAACAACACAATGTCTGAAGTAGGATTTTTAGTGTTAGAAATCTAAGAGTAAGACACAACGATGATCAATGTAAGCAACCCAGTGCCCAGACCAGTGATACACCTAAAATATATAGTGTTTTAATACACATTTTTATACATATTTTGAGATATTGAGCTTTAATGAAATGTATTTGTGTGTTTTTCTCTCAGGTATAATCAAATGGATGAAAAATGCTAAAAATAGTGAAAAAAGGTCAAATTTGGAGCAAAAATGAAGAAATGTGCAAAAATG